GTTTTTAAACTTCTCCAATGACAACATATTTTATATTATTACAACTGTGTTAAACTATTTTGCCATTCATTAACTGTTTCTACTCCAGCCTCCACTTATGCCCACAGGAGAATTATGGTACATACATCGTACATTAATAAACACTTATATCTGCTTACAACTGTATTATGATGTGTTATAAACCATTTATTAAATGTAGTATTCTGCTAAATGATTAATAGGAGGACTAAAAGTAAAGTATTGCTGATTATTATGAAAGATTGCGACCGGCAGCTTCTGATAATTACAGTACCTCTTAAGATGATGTTTATGCTTACTCATTGGGTGATTTTATCTTTACTGTGAGATTTATCATGAGATTAGATTTTAGCACACTAATATCTTCTGACATGCACACCTTGATGCATTATTTTTAATAAATCAGTTACTTGATTAATAAGTGAAAGATTTTTTTTGCTTTTACAAACGAAAAGCATGACTATTTCTCTTAAAATTCAAAACAAAAATGCAAACATAATTTCTAGCAAAATGAAAACACTACATTAAAAACTATATCATGACATCTCAACATTGAATTTTTGCAGCTGGTATATACTTACCAACTGTCCACGTCTGTCTCATGGGTTTGCTAACAGTATTGCACTACACTGTTCTGTATTGACACAGACTGCTGAAAGCATTTTCCTAAAATTACACTACGAATGTGTTCATTTCTCCAAAACACTGTATTGTAAAGTGCTGCACATACTGTACAAAACACAACGCTGTGGGACAAATGTACTGTAAACAATTAATAGACTGTGGGCTGAGTGTACAGTAAAGCAAAGAAAGAGAGAAACTTTGACTGCATCAGGCAAACATTGCCCACAGTAGCATATCAAACTTTGGTTATCGCCCACATCAGTATGATGATGTCTCTCCCATTGCCTGAAGAAAAGGCATGCATACATGGAGCTGTTTTCATACAGTATCACCAGGCTGAAAAGAACTTTTGTATGGGATTCAGAAATGGAGAGTATGGAAGATATAGAACGGTAAATTCTGGATGCTCTGTGAACCAGATGCTACAGATGATGATAGGCCAACTGCTCCGTCCAATTTCTTAAAACAGTGTTTGACATGTGACAAAATAGGCAACACTGTGGGGATCCATGATGCCATGAAAATGGATAAAACAATTCTGATTGTTTCCCCACTAGCACTGCTACTGGCCAAAAACATGTGTACATCTGAAGTTCACACCTGTGTGATTGCTGAACATCTTAGCCTCAGCCTCAGCATAGCCTCCAAACACTAACACACTAAAATGTTATTTTATGGTGTGAGACTTCCCTCAACCAAATCAGTCCACGACCAACAGTACACAAAAGTATGGAAAGGGATGTGCATACACTTTTGTGCAGAGCATATTTTCCCTGCACTGTAGTAGACATTTTGTTTGGTTTTCTTACTCAAGGTGTATTTCTGGTGCTAGGGCTTAGATTTGAAAAAAATATGAAAATCTATGAAGCTTGTGAGGGGTGGGTGAGGCCCATTGTTGATGTGGCATTTTTATTTGTGTGCCTTCACAATGACCAAAAAGAGATTTAATTTTTGAATGTCGTGTAGAGAACTGTGAGGTCTTTCCAGCAAAAAGTGTGATTTGGAATATCAAGCTGACTTCAAAGTAAAATAAATAAAAAAATAATTTTAGTTTTGAAATGTGACACATGAGTTTCAGATTTCAGTAATTTTGTTTTCCAAACACTCACCAAAAAGTGAATAAATTATTTAGTCAATCAAACATCAAACCACCAACCAAATGTAAGGATGCTAAATTCTGCGTAAATTTTAAAATGTCACACATACAGGTCTTTTGATCATTCCCAGCTTGTCTGTTTCTGCTGGGCTCTCTGCAGACTATACGTACAGTATATATGCTGAGTCTCTGTCAGAACTGTTACAGCCACCCTGAAATGCATCATCTTCGCTCTCTTCTCCCTTTGAAAAGGTCCTGACTGCTAAATGTACAGAGAGCAGAGTGCACAGTATGTATTGAATACCCACAAGCACCAGAATGGTTGATCTCAGTAAAGACATGACCTTGAATGGTGGAGCACTGAAGCGCTGTAATCATGACCTTTGGCTATATAGCCCACATATGCTTCAGTGATCTGCAAAGACCGAGAAAAAAACTGTTTAGTGCAAGCAGGAGGATTTCTATAAGGGGCTCAGGAAGCGGAATATCCCCATTCCTGCATATTGTGGCTTTCATGACAGAAAAGTATAGTCGTGACAGAAAAGTATAGTCGATATATGTTACTCCTGTATGTGTTATGTGATGGTGAAGTGGATGTTTTTGTTAGTTCCTGAAAAACTGCCAGTTTGGAGATATGAGATTTTCACTCAGCGTTGAATTTATAGGATTTGACATGCTTTGGATTGAATATCAAAGTAGAGTTTCTCTGCTCCTTTCAAAATATGCCAGTCAGGAAAATGATTTGCAAACACTTATTATAAAGGAGGAGAATCCCCTTTTCTGGATTTATTTGTCACAATAATATTGTTGGAATGCATATTATACCGATAATGATGTTAAATGTGTTCCCAGAAGGAAGGATGCTCCAGTGATTAATGATACTGTTTGACACTTAGATGACAGTATCATGTCTTGCTGAAGTGCTGCGGAGCACATTGCTACTGTTGAGGACACTGAGATCATGTCATCTGTTTTTATTGTTTTTAGGGAATTTAGGAAGGGTCCGCAAATTGGTGGTGGAGTGATTCTTGTATTTTTAGACCTATTGTACTTAAAAAGGAATAGTTAAAAGTTTTTTCTCAATACACTGAGAGATCGATGAGAAGATTGATAAAACTGTTGTGTCTGTGTCTGCTGTGTTCATTTGCAACTGGTTAACTTACCTTTGCATAAGGACTGGAAGCAGCTAACCTGGCTCTGTCCAAAGGTAACAACATCCTGAGATATAACATGTTAATAGCAGAGCCTTAGTCAGAGCCAGGCTGGATGTTCCCTCTGTTTCCAGGCTTTGTGCTAAGCTAAGCTAACTACCTGCTGGCTGTAATTTAGCTTCATATTTACCACAGAGACACGAGTGGTATAAATCTTCTCGTCTAACTCTCGGCAAGAAAGTCAATAAGGATATTTTCCAAAATGTTGCGCCATTCCTTTAAAAAGAAAGAAAGAAAGGATTCTAACCTGCAGTTAGACATGTTGTTAGATTAACAAAAATATAATCTAATATTTAACTGATTTAATAAATTATCAAAACACAAGTAACTTAAAAATATGATTCAGTGAGGGTAGTGGTGGGTGGACCCTGGACTTATTTCTAAAAATCCTGGCTACAGCTATGGTTGAGCAAGACACTTTTTGTGTTTGGAGGACTTCTCCAGTTGACCTCTGACCTCTTAAAAATGTTGCATGCCTGAAAGGACACTTTCTCTTCAGCAGTCAACGAAGTATAAATTACATCACTGCTGTCCCACCAAAATAAGCTAATTCCTTTCCTTTTAGCGTTTTAGTTCTTGATTTATCAGGTAGACCTTTCGAATGGGCCATTGATCTCTGACCTTCTGAAGAAGGGCTGCAGTGCATCTGGCCCAAAATTAATTTATTTTCTACTAACTGCCATTTCCAACTGCAGACTTGATGATTTAGTGTAAAAGCCCTCATTAGACTGATTAGACATTAGCAGCGTTGCTAAACGTTTGGTAATGCTGGCTGTTAGTCCTACACTTTGGTCCTGATAAACCTCAACAACTATTAGATGCCATGATATTTAGCACATACTGTACATTCACGGTACCCAGAAGATGAATCATCATGACTTTGGTGATCCCCTGTCCTTTCGTCTATAGCTGCCATGAGGCTGACATTTGTTGTTTTGAGTGAAATATCTCAAGAACTATTAGATGGATTGTCATGAAATTTGGCCTAGACATTCATTTCCCCCCCTCAGGATGAATCGTTAAGACTTTGAGGATCCTCTGACTTTTCATCTAGTAGTTTCAGTACTTTTGTTTATGACTATAAATACTTTTTACCTTCCAAACATCAGCATGTAAGCATTGTCATTGCGAGCATGTTAGCATGCTGACATTACCACACAGCAAAGCACAGATTCACAGAGCTGATACATGGCTGTAGACTCCTCTCTTAGGCTAATTGGAGATGACTTAGCCTACTACTAACATTTGCTGGTGGCTTATTAGAAAGTGAGAACATCTTGGCTTTTGCATTCAACAAAACAGATTTCTCACAACCTGGCAACCCAACAGTTACTGTTATTACTAATGGCTTATATCTGATTTATAAAGCATGTGTTAACCATTAATTAACCCACTAGTTACTGCTCATAACCCCTTTATTTGCAGTGTCTCATGAAATATATCTGCTCACTTGCCCACAGAGCAGTCTGCCGCCTCTCATCTGATTAGTGTGCAAGTGCCGGGGAACACTGAAGTTGGCTCGGTAATAAGCATTATAAGGCGGTCTGCCCGAGCTCAGTCCGTGGGAGGGGTCTGCCAAACCTTTCCCTCTAATTGACCAGGGAGCAGAAGCAGCTGGGGATGCGAGCAGCCACAGACGGGGAGAGAGGTACTCAGCAAACCGCATTTTGTTGCTTTGTTGCTTAATAACCGATTATTGAAACACATTATGTGCAATTAGATTTATTAGCGCGTTGCATGGATACTAAGTGATTTGGAACAGCGATGTGAGAGCTTGCAGAAGCCAGAAAAAGACAAAAGTGTTACTCGGCAGTATACATGGCTTTATGCCATTGCATATTGTCATGGGAATTCATTCAAGACTTGCTTAGCTGTACTTTAAAATGCTTGCGGTGCACCCGAGAGAGAGATGCGAGTAGAATTTTGCTTGTGCAAATACTTCAGGTGCAAGTAGCTTGCAACGACCAAGCATGCAACAAAAAACAAAGTAATCTCAGGTAGTTTAAACATCTTATGGTTTTCTCTCCCTTGTTACATGTTTTACTGACAGATATGGACGCATGGGCTTGACAGATCAGGAAACCCAGCCCTTGTTCAAATGGCAGATCTCGAATTGTTTTACTTTGATCAGCCTGATCCGAGAGACACCTCCGTGGTTTTAAATGAGCAAAGCATCAACGAGAGCAGCTGCAGCGGCGGAAAGTCACTTCATCCCGGCGGAGGAGCGGGTTCAGCACCATGGACAGAGACCCGGAGAGCTGCGTGGATGGGGTTGGAAACAGAAACATCTTTCACCTGCAAGCACAAAGATGAAGAAAATTCTGATGATGATGTCCAGTTGATAGGAAGTCCACAAACCTGCAGACTGAGCCAGAGCTCCTCAAGTGAACTGTACGAGGAGGAGGAGGAGGAGGAGGAAGAGGAGGTGGTGGAGGAGGAGGACATCCCGGAACTTTACCTGCTGTCCGACGACGACCTCTCCTCTGAGAGCTCGGAAAAGTCTGTGGATTACGGCTTTATCATCGCCGTGACGTGCCTGGTGACTGGCATCTCTTTGGTTGCCATTTCCTATACGGTCCCCAGGGACGTCCGCGTGGACCCAGACAGCGTGCCCGCCCGGGAGATGGAGCGGCTGGAGAGGGAGAAAGCCAGGGTGGGGGCCCATCTGGACCGGTGTGTCATAGCGGGACTGTGCCTGCTCACCCTCGGGGGCGTGCTGCTCTCCACGCTGCTCATGATCTCTATGTGGAAAGGGGAGATGATGAGGAGGAAAGCCTTTGCCTATTCCAAACATGCAGCAAAGTTGTATGGCTCGATCAATTTGAGGGCAGGCTCCAGCCCGACTCGGGATTCCTGCTCACATCTGTCAGTGGGTGATGAGGATTTAGAAGTGCTGAGCTGAATTTATGGCCAGGACAAGCAGAAAAGACTCAGAAAAGTGTTTTGGAAATCCTACCAGTGCTGTGCTATAATCGGGGATGCAGTAGTTTAGGGTTTAATGACTTTTTTTATTTTTTAATTTCCAGCAGCTGAGGCTTCGCTTTTGGTTGATATAGGCATAGATCATTTTTAAAGGTTAGGTTCACATTTTTTTAAGTCTGTCTTAGGCCTAATACAATACTCACATGCCCTTATGTACCCTGAAAGAGTTTTGTTTACTGTAACTCCATACTGGCCCAGAAGAGATCAATTCCTATTCCATTGTAAGTGGTTGGGGACAAAATTCACAGCCCTCTTTTTGAGTTAAAATGTGTTCAGCTGAAGCTACTGTGATGGTTTAGCAGTTGGATTTGCAAGAGTTCTGAACAAAAAAAGACCCAGGGCAGAATTGGTGGAGTCATGTTGCTTCAGGGACAGGTGAGACAATAAAATACAATCCAGGAAGTCCAGACTGAGTAACAGATCCATAAGTTTAATGAATAACCAGATGCCAAACCCTCCACAGAGGTTTATAATGTTCTTAAACAGGATTTTAAAACACCAACATTTATATATTTGATACAAATGTAGCATTCTCATTACATAATCTATTAATCTACCACAAATGTGAGCTTACCGAATGACATTGCGTTGAACCAGGTTTAGATATTTAGTTTGAAAACCCTGTGTCACCAGATTGGCCTCGTTTAAATGAATGAGGCTGTGTTTTTTTTCATGCATGGCTGAAGTCGGTCTGAACGTAGCATTTTTCATATAGCTTAAGTGGTTATTTTTAAAGTTACAGTCTTTTTAGTACAAACTTCCCTCTTTGTGTTATTATCCATTGACTGCAGCTCCACAAGGAAACACTGTCTGGGAAAACACAAGGAGGAAATTTTATACTGAAAAGACAAATTTTTCTATCTCTCTACAGATATCAACTTGAATTCAGTAACTCAGACTATGAAACCATCATATTAACTTCAGATAAACTTTGACATGCGTTGTAAGGGATCTCTTCACAGTCAGAATGGACAAGAGGAACAACTACAGCAACCAAAGCATGTTAGTGGTAAATTAAGATTCAAATCTCTATATGATTATGAGCTGTACCAACTCATTAGAAAAAATGGTTTTAAAGATAAAACAGGAATTATGCTTTCTGAAATATATATTTTGTTTACATTGGTGGATGGTGGTTTGCCTTATGATGATCTCAAACACCTTTTTGTTTACCACTGCATCACAGCTTCTAATGATGCTGCTATTTTGGTGAATTCATGTCTACATGCCGGCGCAGACTTGTATATCGAGGGCGTGTGTTTATGCTGTAGCTGCAAGGGAAATCAAACCTGGACCAGGAGTACTGTCACTGTTGCTGCCTCCATTTTCCACCTTGTCAGAAACAGCACTTCACTGACTTGCAACTAACGAAGCTGTGCAGTTCTGGTTTACAAAAACATCAATTGCATGAATCAGTGTTGAACTCCAAAGAAATTCTGTTTAATGTAATTGTGACATGCTGAGGTGATGTTGCATGTGCACAGATTTGTTGAAACGCAAATAGTAATACCACAGGAGGTGTAATTAGATTTTGTGGTTGAGCACCGATGTCGGGGGAAGCTCAGTTTACCCGACCATACACTTGGGGGTTTTGACTGCAGATGTTCAAAAGCATACAGAGAGAGAATCAACAAACCCCTGTGGGAAAGCTCTCCTGGTAATTGGTGTTACTTGATTGCTCGTGGGAGCCGTGTGAATCAGTGAGGGAAAAAAAAACAGAGCATTTTTAAAAACTGCCTCAATCAAGCCCGTCTGCTTAAGTAAAACCAAACCACTCCAGCTGCAATACTGAAGTGAAATGTTACATTGCATTGAAGGGGAAGGAAGTAATGGATAGCCTGCTCTGACAGAAGATGCTGCGAATGAACAATTGTATCCCCTGCTTACGGTGTGCAGAAAGCTGTGCTATGCAGCCTCTGTAATTGGAAGTGCTTATGACCAGCAGGATCACATTATCCTCCACACGACCTTCGCTCACTCCCATCTCGTTAATATAATTAAATAGGTGGAATCAGCTGACCTTTTAATGAAATATTAAGTTGATTTCTAATGCTAATATGTCCTCATTTAATGTGATAGAATAAGTGATGAAGTGTTTAGAATTCCCCACTTCTGCTCCACCTGACTCGACTGCTTCTGTAGGTGATATCCCAGATTTCAACAGCCACCACAGAGCAGCTGTGAGCTTGTTGCATTGTGGGAACACCACCTGCAATGCCCTCTGGCCTACTGAGGCCAAATAGTCTGTGGGGATACCAGTCATTCCAGCTCTTGTTCAGTTAAATAGATTTCTCCCAGTTGACGTTAATTAAAAATGATCCAGTCTAGAGAGAAAATGTTATTCTTCACTTCTAAGGGATTAACACCAACACTTGACATTTACTGCCGAGTAGTTCGATACTTGGAGATTTGTCTGTAACTGTGCTGAAATTTTTTAATTTCGACATCACATTGTCTGTGAAAATTAGAGCCAACACAATGGCTCTGGAAATAAAATAATGACTTTTTAACAACATAATGTAGCTCAAGGTTTATTTTCTGATTTTATTATTATTACAATAGTTGCAAACTGCTTGGTTACACCAGCTATTCATAAATCCATGACTAAATATGTGTGTATAAGTTCTCAGTAAATATTAAATAGTTTAGAACTAGTTATTTACCAAATCGTGTTGCACCGTTAAAATTTTAATTTTTTTGTAAAAATCTCAGCTTGTGAAGGCTTTAGTAATGTGTAGTCTGTTGCCAGGAAACAGTAGGTGTAAATACTGACTCTTAAAGCAACATTATGTAGTAATTTTATCTTATAGTAACAGCTTTAAAATCATTTTGATGGTACACTGACTTGTAATTAGATGAATGGCGTCTGTCATTGCCACTCTGTGCTCTGCGCCATCTACTGCTCTACTCAATGGAATCCTGGGCAATACATTTATCATAACAACGGCGTGATGCTTTATGGCACCAACACAACTCTTCATCAAGCAAGCTGTAACAAGAAGCAAGAAGTATATAATTTACAATGTAAGTTCATTGGAAGAAGTTTTCTCTGTATCCTCGGTATGGGTATCATGTCAGAGGCTGTAAAGAGACTGAAGAAGACTTTGTGGGAGGAGGTGAGGAAGAACAAAAGATAGAGTGATGAGCATTAACCAGACAAGAATAAATATTAGACTGGCTCTACTTGTTTGTGTGAGCTAAAAGAGCTGAAAAGATGCAGGACAGATGCCAAGCTGGCCTTCTTCCTGTTGCTGTGGACTAGTAAGTGATCACTTATTAGCTGGTTTGCTGTGTCTTGTTCACAGATAGAGGGTTAGCCGCTAGTAAAACTGGAGTTGAGTTTAGCTTTAATTTACTAGTTAACCCACATGGACATCAGTAACATTAGTGTAAGTGCTCTTGCGTCAGCTGCTGTCTAACTTGCTGCACAGATTTATTCACTTTTATCCAAAGCGACTTACAATTGCATCACTGCTGTCCCACCAGAATCTAGCTAATTCCTTTATTATCATTAACTAGGGGTTAAGTGTCTTGCTCAGGGACACAACAGTGGAAGAATTTTAAAAATGTAGCAAGCTGCAAAAAGGCAATGAGATGTGCCTCTTGTTTTGCAACCTGCAAAAAGGAGCATACATCTTCAATAAAACAATTAAATTTTAAGGCTAAGGTTAAGTTTAGACTTGCTGGTGCAGCGGGTAGGACTATGTGGGTGTGGTTTGATCAGGTTTTGAACAGTGGCGTTTCCCTGGTAATGTAAGCAAACAATCCAACAACTTATCAGATTCTGATTTGTTCTTATATAAATCTGATTTGTGCATGGAAAAAGCTGACATCACCTTTTCCCAACTGTGCCCCGCCCTGTGAGAAAAGCTTAGACAAAACACAAATACAGAACTTTGTCATTTTTTTGGCAGCTATCAGTGTGTAATGAAGCTGAAAATGCTGAAGTGTGGATGAGAAGGGTTAAAGCAGCTTGTTTCTTCCACAGACACATTATTAGTGATGTAAAGGGGCTGGAACACTGCAGCAGCTTTAATTGGTGTCTGTGTTTGTTTTGCCAGGGGACTCTCACGGACACAAAATCAAACCTGTAATGAAAAAACGACATACACACATTCCCACACACAAACTACCAAGGCACTGAACAGAATCCCACACACATGCATGTGCTTGTGCACAAAATGTGCATCTCTTGCAAAAACACACCTCGACAGACACACATCTCAGCTGGCACATACACACACTCATAGCCCCCACTTCTTCCCCCTCTGTTCCATGAATGGAGTTAGTCAGAGTAATCATTCAGGGCAGCTGGCAGCAGGAAATGGAATTGGATTGCTGAAGGGGTCACTCAGGGTCAAGAGCTCGGGTGTGGTTCTGGACACTGGGGACCTGGAAGAAGAAAAGCCTTTGCGGCTGTGCTTTACATCAGCGTCTGGCAGCCACTTATCATCAGCTGTCATAACCACTCATCACACTGAGTGGCAGAGCACCAAGTGCACAGAAAGCCTCTCTGGGTATCACACAATTCTTTGTTCCGTTGGCTTGATGAATTAGGAGTAAGATCATGTCTCCAGGTCTAAAATGCCTCTCTTGAACTATTGCCTTAAGTTAATGACTTATTCAATAATGATTCTCGTTACTCCGATTGTTGCATAGCAACGGCAGGCAGTCACAGCTCGGAGGAAAGAAGGGACCGAGCAGAGCTTCAGCTAAGAAAGGAGAAAAGAGGGAGGAGAAGTAGAGAAACAAGTTGGGAATAAAATCACCATCCACATCATTTATCAGCTTTATTCATTCAGCTCAGAGGTTTTAAAACCCAAATCCTGCACAAACTGACATCCCCCTTTCAAGCTGTCTTTCAGGAGGTTTTCAGAGCTGAAAGCTGTTGATGCGGATATACCTGTAGGCTGCATCTTAACTTGGCACTCTGGAGGGAGAGAAAAGTAAACTATGTGGAGGTATTCACCGATCAGTTTCAGTTCAAAAGCTGAATCATGTTTCTTGAACTTGCTACAACCTCATAACTCACTACGCCACTGAGAGGAGATGTGAACTGTACTGTAGGTGCAGGAATTCACTGATCCTACTCCAAACTTATTTATTAACTGCCAGTATCTTCTTTTGTTTGTGGTGGTTAAGTGAACCACCTGCTGTAGGTTGAGCAGCGCCCACATACTCATGTCCCTTTTTAAAAAAAATTTATTTTCCTTTTGCCGTCGTTGTCCTGGAAGAAATGCAGAAGGGACACCATAACCATAGAAACGGGGTCAGCCTGTTGCTACGGAGAAATGCCTGTGTGCCACGGTGGCTCAGTGTAAGGGAGTTAAAGATGCTCTTCTTTTGATTTGCCTCTCTAATGGCAGCAGTGGCGTGTGTCGTAATTGACACATTCCCTCTATTACACCCGATATAAAGATGCTTTTTGAACTACACACCTCATTTATGTCGACGTGCCAGGTGCTGTCACCGTATGTCTGCTGTCAAACATCCTCCTCTTCAGAAGAGAAGAGAAGGAGAAGAGAAAATACTTCCTCTGCAATCCTGCACTCTGTTTCGATCAAACATTAAGCTAGAATCTGGAATGCTGAATAGACTACTTACAGTGGTGTTTCACTGTAGCACAGCATTTTCATCCATAGATTTTTTTTAATGCATACTGACTACTATACCATAGCCAGGACTTCAGAAGAAAAGAAAACTGTCACTCACCTTCGCCATTGTTTTTATTGTACTTGGATTTACTTTTTGTATTTTATTTGCTTGTTTACTTGCTTATTTGCTAGTGTCAGTCTCCTCTCTGGGTGTATGGGAAATTGTTGGGGTGCTGAGTTGAATTAGAGCCTGATCTTCTGTTAACATTTCTGTTTTTGTTTGCATTGAGAACAAGCAATGAACAATAAAGAAATAATGTAAAAATGGTTTAGGATGTTATAGTGTCCACCTCTAATGTTTATTCAGAACATGTGAAGATGAGTAGAACACAAATCAATACATGCAGACGTGTCATAATCACAGTACATGCCATCTGCAAGTGAAAGAAACACAAATGCATACAAAATAACATTAGAAATAAAAAGCAGAATTCCTTTAAGTGTGCAAGAAAACAGCTTTTAAACAAAGCTAACACTTCTAGTTGACTATGTCCCCCTTTCCACCAACCATGCCCTCCAACCCACACTCAGCAGGCTCCCATATAGGTACATATAATCTGATCTCCAAAATCAACACAGCCTCGCAGAATTTGTCGTTGAATATTTTAGCACTGTGTATTTATGCCTTCTAAAGTGAAAGCAGTCATCATTTTTTATTTCATAATCACAAACAGCAATTGTAGGGTGCTACAAGGATTTATGGTGGTAGAACAATATGTTCCTGGTTTATCATTAGAACAAAATTAGGGTTTAGGGGAGTATTCCCTAAAATATTAGTGCAATTTCACCGATAATTAAAGGGGCTCTATGTAGTTTTCAGCGGCCTCATTCAACTCGCAGGGAGACAGTTTCACATAACATGCTGTAAATTCAGGTAAACTCCCACTGCAACAGTAATATTTTTATCAGACCATGAACTAATCCATGCTGGTTGATAACGTTACACTGACAGCAACATTATCTAACTTGAGCCAACTAAAGCACAAAGTCACAATATGTTTCACATGCTGTCGATCTGATTCTTGTTTGGCCTGATGGGCCCCAGCACATAAAACCCTGACTTTACGTGGAGTTTGTGTTGGAATCTGCGTTATACTGGGAGCTGGTCATTTTTTGATTTTACCAGACTCACTCTTTTTAATTGCGGTGTTGTTGCTGTGTGGGGTTTTTTTTTAATAGGCATACATATATAGAAAAACCTGAGAAGTGGATCATTTTTATGTGAGGTTACAACTCCTTCACATACAGGCAATAAAAAAGTGATTAATTGAATAATAAAAAAATACATATAACCCCTATAAGCCAAAAACCAGAGCAAATTTATACATGTATTGATTTCATCTCTCTTTTCATTTAACTTTTCACTGTGTTGAATATTGTTGAACGTAATAACCTGTTTCTGGTTCTCATATAAAAGCTATAGTATGAAAATGTTTGTTTTTTACTGGATGTCCTATTTGAATCCTATTAGAATCAATTGAATATCACATTTCCACTTATACCACAGTGATTTAGGAAAAATCTCAAAGTCAAAGTTATCTCAAAGTCCATTAACTTGCTTTTTCTGCAGCTTTCAGTCACATCTCGAGGTTAGTGTTAGGGTCTCTCTCTGCAGAGACAGCTCAGTTGCTATAAGTGACTTAAGTATGAAACATAATGACAACTTGATGACGACTGATTTATTTCCATGACAACTAAGCAGACTCCATCTGCTGAGGAAGAAATGCTGTTTCCAAGGTCAAAAATGAACTTTCAACCTGAAAGATGAAGAGAGTGCTTTTAGAAAGGTTGTCCATTGTGGAGAATTAAGTGACTCAATAATTACTGCAATACAGTGTATATACAGTA